AATTAATTCACATGATATAGCAAACATAAAAATATCCATTTTAAGAAGTAATTATATATATAAAATATCAATGGAACTTATTAAATCATATTTAGAAGTACAACAAAAATGATCAGATTATCCTGACTTTTGAAGAAACCTATATGCAATCATTGACATATAATTTATACCAAAATATTAAATACAAAAGGAGATATATAAGGAGATATATACAAAAGGAGATAAATACAAAAGGAGATATATACAAAAGGAGATATATACAAAAGGAGATATTTTGAAAATTAATTACTGTATGCTATGTATAATTTTGGTAGATATTTAGCAATATTATTGTATTATAAATGGTCTATGCTATGATAAAAATATTGAATATTGTTTTACATAAATATATTTTATATTAGGCAATAATTTTGGAAAAAAAATTAATACATATTTATTGCTCTAGATTAAATCATTTTATATAAATCATTTTTATAATATCTTTAATATATTTAATTAAAAATATAATAAATATTTACTATATCAAAATATATAAGATAATAGCATTATTATTAATATTTTAACAATATATATATTATTTAAATTTATGACTTTTTTAGTGGAGTCATACATAAATGGGAACATTTTTTATTTTTCGCTATTTTGGTTTTCGCTGTTTCGTACCGAATTCAACACAACTGGTTTAGAGTGTATAGCTACTATAGGTATTAAATATTATTTATATTTTGAGGAAAATTACATAACATACTCTTTTTTCTGAACTAATTTATTTTTTTATGTTTTTTTTATATATGGGATGGGTATTATATTACTTTCTCCTTTGTAATAAATTGTAGTATTTTTAATTTTTATTTTAGATATAATGAATAAAAATCAAGAAATAGTTAAAAAAATTACATTTTCAAGAATACAAATTATTAGCAAACAACTCATTGAAGAGCAAGGTCTGGGATTCTTTTAGTATAATAATAGACAATCAGAATAATAAAATCGGATATGTCCAATGTAAAAGATGCCAAGACATACTTTCATATTCAAATAAAGTAGGATCATCCCATTTATCAAGACATAAATGTAAACCAAATCCTATAATTAAATTATCTTCTTTTTATCCAATTAAAAATGATAAAACATCATATACAAATGAAAAAAAGGAAGTTATCAATAGATGTGTAAAATTTTGTGCTGTGGATATTCGCCCATTTTAATGTATAGCTGGTAAAGGCTTTAAACATTTAGCACAATATTTTATTGAAGTTGGTTCAAAGAAGGGTTTGATTGATATTGTAAATATTTTGCCAAGTGCTATAACTATATCAAGGCATATGAATGATATTTCTCAAAATTTGCACAAAAAAATATTCCCAGAAGTACAAAATGCTTTAATAAATTATTTTTGTAGTGCAACAACTGATTTATACACAGATGATTTCAAAAAGTACACATATATAACATTAACTCTTCACTACATAATTAAATGGAAATTAATAAAACATGTTTTGTTTACTTCTCTTTTTTTAGAAGATAAAAAAACAAGTGAAAATATACACAAAGAACTTGTTTCTAATTTTGCTAAACTTGGATATGCTTCTGATGCATTTTATAAATTCACATTCATCACTGATCAAGGTAGCAATTTGATAAAGGCTTTAGAACCATATAAACGGTTAAACTGTTCTGCTCATCTCATTAACACTATTCTAAGAAATACTTTTTCTCCAAAATATATGCAAATATCTACACCCTTATTATATAACCTTATTCTTCAATGTAAATCACTAACAAGATTTTTTAAGCAAAGTAGATTAAATAAGAGTTTATCAAAGACTGTTTGCCAAATATCTTAACAAGGTTAAATTCGAAATTAAAAATGTTTAAAAGTATTTATGAACAATATGAAGAAATTTTAGATTGTTTACAGAAAAGAAATATGGAGGATAAGCTTAATTCTATTGATAAAAATGGGTTGAAATCATTAATAGACATGTTGACCCCATATGATCAGGCAGCCAAGGAGCTGGAGGGAGATAGAAGTTCTATATTATTTAAAGTTTTATTAATTTATAAAACATTGGAAAAGTTACCAGTGTCTGATATTTTATACGAAGCGTATCAAAATAATAGTGAAATTGGAAAGTTAAAATTAAGAGCAAAGGAATTTTTAATATCAAAATTCCAAATAGATATTTTACACAAAATCGCTACATTTTTAAATCCTAAATTCCGCCAATTAAAAATACTTACTTTGGAAGAAGCACTTGAAGTAAAAAATAGTACAAGGGCCTTAATGATTGATTATTCAGATCATCATCCAATTCCTATATATGATCTAGATGAAGCAAATATCCCTAGAGCTTCAAGTAACATATATTTTATAAATATATTTATCTATATAATATTTTTAGATACTTCAGATCTGGATGAAGTGCATGTGCATGTTCCTATTCCTACTTCGAGGATTACTAGAGCTACCAGTAATTTATTCTTTATAAATCTTTTTAGCTATATAATATTTTTAGCTATATAATATTTTTAGCTTCATCCTCATTATTGGATATGTCTTCATGGGAGGATGATACAATACTTCATAATGAGACGGATGCTGATGAGATTAATTTATATATGGATATTCAGCTAAATGAAGAGAATATCAACTATGATGACTGCATCCTAGATTGGTGGAAGAAGCATGAAAAAATCCAAAAAAATTCCAGTGAACGGAATTTCAGTACTATTGGAAGGGTTATTGAAGAAAGAAGAACAAATTTAAATAACGAAATTGTAGATAACATATTATTTTTAAATGATAATTTATAAATATAAATTAAAATTTTGTTTATATCATTTATTAATATTATATATATTATTACTAAATAAAATATTATATTTCTATTAGTATTACTTCAGCATAAGTTAAGTATACATAAAATAATTTTATGGGCTTGGGAAATTTTTTAAATATTATAGCGGGCTTGGGAATTTTTTTAAATATTAAAAACGGGCCGGGCCTGGGCTTAAAATTTTTTTTACGATGGGCCTGGGCCGGGCTTGGTCCTAAAATTAAATAATAACATGGTTTAAAAATATATATTAAAAATTATATGTAAAATATTAAATAACAATAAAAATATATTGTAAATTTTTTCTCGCATAGTTAAATTAGATATTTATAAATTTAATAATAAAATTTATAATGTTAAACTAATTAGATAGTTTTAAAAATTTTAATAATTTTTTATAATTTTTAAATAAAAGAAAAATCATTTAACTTGGTAAATATAAATAAAAAGTAAAGGTGATCGCTAATATGTTTGGGATTAAAAATTTTAAACCTAGAGTAGTTTCTAGATAGTCCAATCGCTTAAATATTGATGCATCTACGATTGAGGATTTTTATAAAATAAATATTTTTACTCCCCTTATTGATACATTTTTATTTCAATTAAAGGAAAGATTTATTAGTCACATTTTTATTTTAAACAGCTTTTATTTTCTTTTGCCGGTTGAGTCTAAATATACTTGAAACGCGAGAGGATATATAGAAAATCTCAGAGTTTTATTCTGCTGAATTGTCAGGATCGTATGATAAATTACTTTGTGATGTTGAATTTTGGTATAAAAATTTGACAGAATAGAGTATTTTGAGACCAAAATATGCTTTGCAGGCCCTTTCCATGTGTCCCTGCCTAATATCAAAACATTGCCTTTTATTTTAGCTACCTTACCGATTAGCACCTGCACTAATGAAAGGTCTTTTTCATCTTTGAAAAGGTTAAAAACCTATTTAAGAAATAGCACCGGTGAAAGCTGTTTAGGAGATTATTCTAAATAAAAATTTGATTCTAGATGAATTCGTCAAATCTCAGAGAAAACTTCTCTTTATAAGTTCAAATTATAAAATTGCTATATTACTATAATATGATCTTAGGAATAAAATTTTTATATACAAAACGTAATTAAAATGAATTCTTAGTCATAATATTTATATACTATACTATTTTTAAAAAAATAATGCATTTGCACTAAGAATTAGTGATCTGCATCGGGCCTAATTTTTCAAGCCCGGATCTGCCCGAAATTTTTTTTAAAAAGTTTTGTCGGCCTGGCTCGAATTTATTTAAATATAGAAAACTAATATTTTTTTCATTTATGCTGGCTACTATAGTGGTTAGACACCAATAAATCATAAAATTGACAAATTTTTAAAATGCGGGTTGGGAACGAAGCCTCAAAAAAAATTAAACCCCCCCTCCCCCCCCCTAATGGATTAATCTTGGCTACGCCACAGTCTAGCATGATATGAAAGAAGAGCCTTGGTAAGACTTTTGACAGTCTGGGGCATGACCTTTAAAAACTCCCAATTTACTTAAGCTTTAAAATCCTAAATTAACAAACTAGGTGAGGGTCATTTTTAAACGTAAATAAGGCGTTAAGATTTTAGCAATATATAGATAATTTGTAATAAATTACTAAATTAATTTATACTTTTTAACATTATTCACCTTTAAATACATAAGAGACAAAATAATTTGGTGGCCATAGCGGTTTTGGTACAATGCCCCGGCCGATTTCTCGTTTGCACAAGACTATATATAAAACACCTTTATGATCACAATTATGAAGTTGGAGCATAGGAATTCATACATTATATACTTATTTTTATTTTTAAATAGGACCATTTTAATTAGAAAATATACGTTTTTCTATCCAAATTTTACTCTATTTAGATTTAAAACAAAAATTAAGAACAGTTATGAGATATTCAAAAAAAAGGTATACTATTCGATGGTTACCTTCTTTTTAAAGAGTTTAGTTAGTACACATTTAAAACAAACGCAGAAATAAGAAAATATGACATCAGGAATACAGCGGCATAATGTTTAAATAATACAACTATAATATATTTTTTTATTTGTTATAGTTTATTTCTGAAATTGTTTGACAGTACAGTTATAATATAAGATTATTTATTATTATTAAATAAATAATTAGAGACTCACAATTTCCAAATAAAGTTAGAATTATGAAAAAGATTGCATATATCATGCCGCCATTTGCCACACCCCCTTGAGATTTTATACCATTGTACATAATTTCATTCCAATCTTCACCGGTAAGTATCTGTTTACATGTTTATACATATAAAGTATAATTAAATTTAATATAACTTGGTTAAAATTATATTCAACCTGGAAGACGGTTAACAAAGCGACTGTAAAGCTATCAAAATTATTTGGAGGAGTACCCTCTAGAAAATTGAACCTACAAAATAGAGATTTTTAAATAAAAACTACCGCATTTATAGAATTAATTATTACTCGCCACCAAATAATTGCATCCCTAACATCGCAAAAATGAGTATGAAAAGGAAAAGAAGAAATAGCAACGATATAATTGATCGCATACTACTTAGCAAAGATATAACTAAATTGCGCAAAGATGACCAATATCTATAATTAAAATATATTTTTTAAATAAATCTATAAATATTCGGGTTAAAATTAAAAATAATTAACCTTGTGACCTTGAAAATTCGTAGAAGCCTTAGAGCTCGCAATATACTTATGCCAAAGGAACCGCCTTTGAAATGACTCCATATTACTTCAAATATACTACCAACTATAACCTATATATAAAAATTCCAGGTGTGGAAAATTATTAGATTCCAATTTTTAAAATTAATAACCAAATAACATTATCGCATAATTTTATTAAATTATAGCTAATTAATATTAATGTAATTAATCCTGCCTTCAATGTTATTCAAATAATGGATAATTAGTAGATATACGCCTTAACTTACATAAATAGTAACCTTAACCCGTTATATTGCCTGTTCCTAGTAATGATGCAATAATTAATCTAAGAAGGGCTGTAAATGCGGGGTTGTATTAAGAAATACGGCCCCTCCTCATAAATTTTAAATTTATGAAAATAATTTAAATTGGTGTTAAATTAAAAGTAAATTGCTATGAGCGAATAACATAAATTAGTCATTTAGAGAAATTAGTTTATCTGTAACACGATATATTTATGTAGTTTTAAAAATTTTTATCGGCCGAACTAATAAAACTTTAGACTCACTCTAACCCGCTTCACACATATGGCATGAAATTATTTTAGCCCAGTCCCTTACTCTTAATTATTTCAATCATCTATACATATTTCAATGGATAGGTATTAATATTATGAGAATATGAAAATATCACCACAAATAAAACTTCTAAAATATATATCCATATCTGTGTTTTGATGGGATAAGGCAAATGCTGAGATCTGAATTGCTGCAATTCTTGTTGAGGTTTTTACCTCTGTGTAATCAAGTCATTTAAAAATAGCATTTTTTTAAAATATATTCTACACCATATGGATATCGTGCCGGTGATTATCACAAACTTTAATTAATATTGTACGTCATATTAATTTTTTATTTTTTCTTTAAGTTTAAAACTTTTGCCACATTGAGCAGCAAGATGTATCCCATAATGACAGTTATATTGTCATAAGAAACTTCTAAAGGAAATGGATAATTTTCAGTATGACACTCCTGTAATAATGTTTAGGGAGAATGGCGAAGATCATTTTAGAACTCATTAGATCTGATCATTTTAGAATTATGCAATTATTATAAAACAGAAATATATTAATTGCTATGTAATTATTGCAGGCGAGAATAATTTTCATATAGTTAATCTAGAAGAAGTATTAAGAAGATTTGATAAGGCTGGACTGACAACGACGACCGATAAAATTAAAATTGGAGAAAAGTCAGTTACTTATTTAGGTAATGTTATTGACGAATTCGGAATTCACCCTACAGATGATTAATGCCATTAAAAATTGTAAAACACTGTCTAATGTTAAAAAATTACGTTCGTTTCTTGGAATGATGAATTACCATAAGTCGTTTATAAAAAATTTACATCCAATTTGTGGGTCTTTACACCGACTAACGAGTAAAAATGTTAGTTGGTTTTGATCAGCTAAAGAAAATGAAATATTTAATAGAGTTAAAAAAATATTATCAAAAGAAGATACAATAAATTCCTTATTCAGCCGATATTCCTGTCGTGATTTCTTTTGACGCATCCTAAGATGGTCTAGGAGCTGTTATTGCACACCGATTTCTTACTGTCCAGGAGAAACAGAGTGCTTACGCATCGAGGACACTATCGGCGGCTGAAAAGAATTATACCACCATTGATTGGGAGACTTCAGCGATCATATTCGCTATCAAGAAGTTTCATCAATATATTTATGGAAAACATTTTATTTTGGTTACGGATCATAAACCTTTAAAATATATCTTAGGTGATAAAAGAGACCTAAATAAAATTACAAATAACCGTTTAATACGGTGGGCGACGAAACTATTAAATTACGACTATGAGATAATTCATAGACCTGGTAATCAAAACAAATGTGCCGACGCTTTGTCCCGTTTGTGGGTAGAGAGAGAAAAAAAACTCATGTTACCAAAAAATTCGAGGATGAAATAAGAGAATTAAAAATTAATTTAATAGAAGATTTACCTTTCACTCGCAATAAAGTCGTAAATGAAACTAGCAATGATATCAATCTGAAAGAGAATATTAAATTTATTAAAAATCATTGGTATATTGATAATATAAATAATATTTCGGAGATTTTAAAAAAATTCATTTTAATTAAAGATAACATTTTGTTCGAAGAAGGATTATTATTTTATAATGAATTATTATTCCCGATAATCTAAAGAAGGAGATTTTGAATGTTATTCTTCAAGGAAATCCTGGGATATTGGGGAAATTAGTAGATACTATGTTATTTGGACAAATCTTAATCGTGATGTTGAAGAGTTCATTAAATGCTGCAAGAGTTGTGAGGAGGGAAGACCGGGAACTTGCCGTTATACAATTGGAACATTCCTACCCGACCTTGGAAACTAATACACACTGAGTTGGTAGGCCCCCTATCTGGAACGTAGTGGTTAATTTGCGTAGACGCTTTCACCAAATGGGTTGAAGTTGCTATTTTAACGCATAGAGTGTAATAAATAATCAGCATAATTATTTCCCTAGATTTGGGTTACCTCTTTACATTGTCTCAGATAACGGTACTTAGTTTATTGGATCTGAATTCAAAACATTTCTTTTTAAAAACAATATAACATTTTAAATTGGCCCCTTATAGCCCCAAATCGAATGGTTTGGCTGAGAGTTATATACGTACGATAAAGACGCGTTGATATGCTGGAAGGAGATGTGGGACTATGGAGAAGTTAAATTTAGCGAATGTTTTAATTAATCACATAAATATTCCAAATGCAACTACTGGTAAATCCTCTGCTGAAATGATGATTGGAAAGCCGCTCATGACAGCGTTAGATGGAAATTATCTACGAGAAAAAGGACTGAAAACGCATTATGAAAACAAATATTATAAAGATAGGAACGTTGAGACCCGTGAATTTGTAGAGAAGCAAAAGGTATGAGTAGAAAACGGAAGGACTGCGATATGGCTACAGGGACAGTGTTCAACGGAAAAGTGCGATATTGTATGATGTTGAATCTGAGGGTCTTGTTAAAAATAAGCATGCCGACCAACTGAGAGATACAAACTAAGAAAATACCCAACAATGAATGAGGATTTGAACAATGAAGAACATAATGGAAATGCAACTCTTAAAAAAAGAGTTTCGAAACCCCCAATACGTTATCATGATGAATTCAATTTGTAGTGGGGAGAACTGTAATGTATTTATATAAATATAAATTGTATTTTGTTAATCTGGTTTTAAGCTACAATTTATTGAATAGATTAAATAGATAAACGATTTTGTAAGAGTATATATGGATATATATTTTCTTATTGTAAACATATAATATATTTTATTTTTATACATAAATAAATCCCTTCATTTCAGTTTATAATTACTTAAATTTTAAATATTGATAATTATTTAAATAAAAACTGATGTATCGGCATATATAACAATTACAAATTATCTTAGAAGTACGTTGGAACAGAAAAAACTTACTTCAGTATCTGTTATGCATCGAAAATATTATATGGATGATATAATAAAAAAAATTGACTTATAAGTTAAAGACGCGATAAAAAAATTGTTTGAATTTTTTAAATATAATTTATAGTGATATTTAATTCTTGTTATAAAATTGATTAGACTCAGCTTCAAATATCAGAAAATAGAAATAAAGAATTGATGTATTCCTGAAATAAAATCGAATCATTTATTTTTTTTCAATACCCCTTATAGGATATGGATACAAATTTTGATAACTATCAAAGGAAGGATTTTTAAAAAAATGAGTGTCAGAAAGTATATACCCACCAGTTTTGAAAATATTTCAATATTAAAGGCTAAAAATATTTTATTAAAACTCTGCTACTTATATCAAATTTAATATTACATGATTTCTAAGTTTTAATGAATTATAAATAGTTACTATGCAATCAAATTTGTTAAAGGAGGATTTGAAATAAGTGCGTATTCCTAGGCCATACATTTTTATGCTCATCTCCATAATAAATAAGGCTAAAAATATATATTCCGTCGTCTCTATTTCAAAATAAATTTGAATAATTATATTGTATAAACAAATTTTCTCTATAAATTAACTAATTTTCAAAATTATTTTAAAAAGTGTAAAATCGTCCCCCTCTTAGTTTCAAAAAAGTCCGATATACATTCTACTTTATATATTTAATTAATTTACATACTTAAATGTTAAATTGATATGCATAGTAATGCTTTCTTAGTTTTAATGATACATTTTTTTTATCTATTTTTTTATCAATGAATTAATACAAACTATCTCAATTTCTTTTACCCAAAGCTGTGCCTAGCCATATCGGTTGACCATAATGTTCTACTGCGACGCATAATGTATTAAGAAATACCAAAACAATAACTGCCCAATAAAACGTTTGAGTCTTGACTGTACGTCTTAGAAAAAATCTTTAATTATAATATGTAATAAATTGAAATTTAAAAAAAATTTTATTACAAAATACTAAGTGAATGAATGACCCCTTGCAATTATAATAATTAATAAAATATTAAATATAATGTTGATAAAAAAGGAGTTTTTATGATTTCAAACTCTGACTCATACGACCAAGGCAGTATGAGCCGACTCATGAGTTCAACTCCTAATCCAAATAACTAGGTCGGTTATGGAGTAAAACTTACGAATTAAATTTAAAAGCTAGCTCCTTGCGCCTATTTAGTCGGCTTAAAATTGAGATGACTTTTTACTTAACTTCGAATTTGCCGTTAGACAATATTATATATAAATAGAGTGTATTCATAGAAAATTGTATCTAATAAATAATTGGTTAAAAATGATTTATAATACTTGAGGCGCTTGGATGCATGTTTCCATTTATGCATGAGAGTTTGCTTTTTTTCGTTTTCTTGATCCTCATCTAAATATATAATAAAAAGAAGAATATGACTCTGCAATAAAGAGTAATTAACATTAAAATATAAAAAAATGTACTTTCATCATCTTGATCATCAGTATCCTTAGAATTGATAGTTTTTTGAAAAGCAGCTTTCCTTCTAGCTAATAAACAAAACAAAAATATGTATATCAAAATTTATTTATTTCTTGAAAAATTCCTAACCCAAAATAATCAAATTATATTGATTACACATACATAACCAATGTGCGTACAATTATATCAAGAGTTATTATGCTTATTGATGAGACCTAACAAGGTCGAAATTAATCTATAATTACGAAATTTATTATGTACTTAAAATTTTTTAATATTTATCTATAATAAATACATTTAAAATTAATTAAATTTACTTAAAATTAATAAAAGAGATTTATAATCTATAATATGTTGAATTGCTAAAAATGAGTTAATTTTGACATCAATCACCACTTTTATACACCATTTAATAAGTAAATTATGGCAATATGATTATTATAAATAAAATAGATGGTGCTAAAGAATAATAAAATTTTATATAGTAACAACTATCTGATTTTATCCAAAATTAAAATTTTATATAATAACAACTATCTGATTTTATCCAAAATTTTATTATATTTATCTAATAAAGTTTCTCCAATAAAAAGACCGTAACCCTAAAATAATCAAGAGTTGTTTTAATACATAGTCAATGTTAATGATGTAAGCATAGGGCAAACACCCGAGAATTTGCCCTATAGATTTATTTATTTTCCCTATGAATATTCCCTATTTCGTTTTTATAAATGGTAATTTATTTTTATGTTTTTTGCCGTTTTTTATCTTTCAACTGCGTCCGCTCTACATATATTAGGCAATCATTTAAATATAAATTAAGATAGAGTATTAGCAAATCTATCTGAATATCGTAGGAAAGAAAGCTTTTGGAAATGTCGTGCTATATGGGAAGAACACGAACAAAGATAAGAAATAGACTCTACCATGAAATAGTAAAAAATTGGTTTCAATTCTTTATAATCAACATTTACACTATAAAATTTTTCCAGAATCCAATAAAATGGGAACAACCAATGATGGGATACATATATGTGAATGCATTTTTAATTCTGGGGATGCATACTATTATTTATTTCTATGTATTATAAGTATAAATATAATATTTTCAGTGTTTAATTTCTTATTTTTCCTTATTTTCCAGATATTTTTCACGGAAATTTCCCCATGGCCTAAATTCCGCGGTTTTACATCAGCTAATGTACATTAATAATCTGCATCGGGCCTCATTTTTCAAGCCCGGTCCGGCCCTAACGCGATTTTTTTTTTAAATTTTGCTGGCCACCCGAAATTATTTTTGAAAAAATATACCGGCCCGAAGTTATAAATATGGAAATTAATTTTTATAAATAACTCAAAATAAACGATATATGTTATAGTGCATCTAGTTTCTATAAATAAAATCAAATATTTTTAGTTTACATAAAAAATTTAACAGAAAATTGTTTAAAAAAAATTCTAAGGTCCGACCCTACCCGGCCCGAATTTTCTTAAAAAATATTAGGCCCGACCCAGCCCGAACCCGATTTTTTAAAAAATAGGCCGGAACAGACCGGACCGGGTTCGGGCCTAGCCTACTTTTACAAATCTCTAATGTACATATAATGATATCAAGAGTAGTTATGTGCTATACTCATACGACCTAACAAAGTCGAATCAGAATAGCTATTTGATATCATATATGTACTCTAAATTTTCTAATATATCTTAAAAACTAATTAAAGGTACTAATTTAAAATTAACCTAAAATTAATAAAAGAGATTTTATAATCTCTAGTACATTGGGGATTTGCCAAAAATAAATGAGTTTTGACTAAATCACCAAATATATTATAATTACATTTGAATTTATATTATATGTAATAGAGGCAATATTATATAAAATTTTTACACTTCTCAAAATAGTATATTTCAAACCTTCTAATATTATTTTCTTTTCTTCTTCAGTAGTTTTTTCCTCCGCTAGTATAACCTCCTCTTGAAAAACAAGCATTTTTAAAAATTTATAAGTAGAGGAATGTGGTTTACCTGCTTTGCAAATCCATTCCAAGTATCCATTCAATTCCCTTTCCATCATTTGTTGTCTTCTTAATTTTAAGAATTCTCTCCGATTCTCTACTCTCTCTCTTTCTTTGGCAAATTCTCTAGGTTTTTTTAACATTTATTCATAGGTAAAAAATTTTAAATAAATCACATCATACCCACTTAGCACACCCAGAACAAGATTTAGCATAAAAAAAGATCCCAAGACGATCAACGGCACAAAATATATCCAATTGAAAGTATTACCAAATGCATCATTCGTCTAAAATTATTTGAAAATTTATCATAAACATTGTAAAGGATAGATTTTAGCTAAGAGCTTAAAATAATTATTCTCTGAGACAATATTTTTACTAATATTAAAAATTGCATAAATATTATTATTTTTATCAAAGTTTTAGTAAATTTCTTGATAAAAGTGTACATTGTAATATAAATATTTACTAATTTTATGTATTTAACTTCTTAATATTAATAGATTAGATTTAAGGATTACTTTTATGTTTATTACATATTTACATAATGTTATAAGGTGTTATAGATCAAATCACATATAGTATATAGTAGATGATCTAGTAAAATTAATAAACAGTTATAATAATTAGAAAAAAAACATACATAATATAAAACCGTAGTCCATCCTTCCATTGTTATGCATTGAAAGACTGTTAACATAGCGAATCCAATATTATCGAAGCTAGTTATTCCATAATTTGGACCTAACCATGAATCCTTGCATGTTTCTGTCAGTAAATCGCATTTAAAAGCTCCAGATTCCCCTGTTTGTGAGCAAGGGGTTGGGCTTTCTACCAATTTCCCTATTAAGAATAATAAGAAAACTCATAACTATTTTAAATAAAATAGATTTCCATATCCATCAAGATTTAAATAATAGGAATAAAAGTTTAAAACAAAGAGGAAAAATTTAATTGTTAAAAGTTAGAGAATTTTTGAAATTAAATGTCAACCTCAATCTCAATTCCTAAAACTTTCTCTTTTATTTAACTTTAGAAACCCCAAATTTATATCCTAAAAATTTATGTAACCAATAGGTATTAAAAAAAGCGTTAACTACATTTATATATCCTATATTATTAAAAAAATAGAATTAATGAGAGTTTAAGAAGTTTGCATCTCTGTTATAATGAAATAATTGATTAAACATCTATATATTATAGTTACAAACATATAAGTAAATTTATGCGCATAAACCTGAATTTGTATTATAACAGGCGTAATGAAAGGCTCCATTATAAAACTCTAATCCAATTATAGCAAAAATTACTATTGCAAACAATACAAGCAAGCCTATTTGTAATAAAGGTGCCATAGCCTTCAATATTGACTTGAGCACTACTTGTAAACCTAAATTAGTAAATAAATATATAAAGCTATCCCAATTGATAGATTTGAAGAACTTTGAACGTAAACGCGTTCCTTTAACGTTGTTTCAGATTCGTTTAATTTTAAAAAATCTTGTTATTTTAATTCATTTAAAAATAGAAAATATTAATTTAATATTAATCCGAATTTTTTAAGATAAAATAGTATTTTTTAATTAGCTGTTTCCTTTATCATATGTGATTGTTTTTAACGCCACTATTTCTGTACTATCGAATATTACTATTTATATTTTATAGATTAGCATATGCATGGATGTTATTTCATTATCTGATTCTGAATTTTTAATACCAGTTTAAAAATCTTCAACTTCTAATTTAAATAAACTTAATTGTAATATTTATTATTTTATATAATTTAACTATAAGTGGCCCAATAATGATTACTTTAGATTGTTATATTTCATAGGTATATTAAATTATTATATTGTAATAGATATTTAAAGTAAAAATCCTTAAATATTATATATTATAAAATAGATAATATCTCATATAATATTTTTTAATGTGATTTTTTGAAATTATATTCTAATCACTATTATTTTTAAGTTTTAATCAAAGTTTTTATATTTTAATTGATGAACACAATTTAAATTATTATAAATAATTAAATTTTATATGATAGATAAAAGTTTTAATATGAATATGGCTCCTTTGAATCTATTATACTGGGATACATTGAACGTGAATGCGGTCAATTTTTATCAATAAACGCTGATCGCGAACGCGTTCAATTTTTTAGAAATGTTTGCAGCACTATAAAATACTATCTAAAATAAAATAAATCCAACCGGGCTTAAATTGGTTTCCTTAATAGATATTTTGGACTCTGGAGATAAATTACTTTTATAAATATATATATTGGATATTGGTGTAAATAGCCCAGACAACGAGTCAGCTTGCGTTATTTTAAACACAGTAATTTAGATTAAGCAGGCAATTGATATATGAGTGCAAAAATGTTATCGAAAATTGCTGACGATTACTTTTTTTAAAGTTTGTAATAAAATTCGAAACTAATTCCTTTTTTATCTCTAACAGTTATAGAAAAAAATTGATATGATCACTTTAATTTTTAACCAAATTATTTCAGGTTTATCATATTTTATTAAATAAAAATATGAAAGTATATATTATTCATAGTTAGAAATATGAATCAATAAAAAGGTTCTGATTACGGGTTTTTAAAAAAAGTGGTTCTGTATCTAAATATTTAATCTGAGTTCTTTAAATTTTAAATCCTAAATAAGCTTTAATCTTCTAGGCCTTCGGGTTAATTTTAACAAAAGGGCTTCTGGGATCTGGTTCCAAGCTCTGGTGTTAACAAATATGAATATTGTCATAAAATTTTCAAAAAAAAAGGAATTATAAAATTGATGCATAATATCATTCATATTTTTAACTAGTTTGGTATTAATTTCTGTTCATTATAATTAATCTAAATGAACGAGGGGATAAGAGCTATTTTTCACTTTATATAGAGAAGCTAAAGAGTGGGCTTTTGTGGGGGTAAGAAGTAATTTGAGGGGTAGAGGGATAATCTCAGACATATTTCATCTAATTTTATTCTCTCTCATGTAGAAGCTAATTATAATAAGATTTGGAACTAAAAATCAATAATATTTTGGTATAGTGATTAAATTCCATTAATTAAAGTTATGACTGAATACTAAGAATGTATAACGGACCTTGTTTTTACCTTTATATTACATAATAAAATTTTTATAATAATGAAGTTTATTTAATTTAAACATAATTTCATAAACTCTTAGCAAAATCATAGATCAACCGGTTGAAATTTTTATAAAATTTTTTTTGTCAAATTCTTTTTAAGCAAATAATAATGTTAACTTATTAATGAAGGCATGAAAGTGAATGCAAAAATTTTGGTATATTTGTTATATGCTTTTTTAAAATTTTATTTGAATATATATTTTTTAAATCTTTTGCAGTAAATTATTTTTTCTAATCATAGGAATAATTATCAATTATAATCATATTTTTAATTTAAATATTTTAACAAATTTAGATTGTGACGAGGAGAGATGGAACTAATATTTTAATTGTAATATGATTTTAGCATGTTAAAATAATTGAACTTCATTGAATTTATTAATAAATAAAAATAAATTATTATGGAAACATTTCAGCAGTAAAAAAATATACTTGGAATGCCAGATACCAATTTTAAAGGTCTTAAAACGCGAACTGCCCGTAAAGTACGAAGGTCGAAAGATGTACTTTTAGTGGCCATAACGGTAACTAACCTTTATGTATGTTTATGTTTTGGGAAATAGTTATCATAAATGATAACATATAATATATGTCTGTAATGAAAAAATAATCTTAAATATATATATTTATTACTTTTCATAATTCTCACTAAAAAAAATTTTTTTTGCATTTAACATTAATGGTCCTTTTAGGCGGAAATATTAAGTAACGTTTAAATTTAGCTATGCTAGAAACAATATTTTAATCACAAATGTAAATATTTGTAAAGGATAAAATTATTTTTTCTAAAAAAATGGCAAAAATTTAGAATTGGTTATAAATATTTTATAAATGACTATAAATAACGAATAATAAAAAATTCTAAATAATTTATATTTTTTAAAGTATTGATTTATTAAAATAATAAATTGTCCCTAATTTTATTGAAACTGTTTGAATATCCAAGAGCAAATTCTATTAGTTTTTAAATATTATTATTGATGATTATGATAACATAGGTGCATATAGTTCTGTTTTTATTAAATTTATAATAGCAACCATAGAGTAAAAAAAATTTGTTTATACAAAATTATTTTAAATCATAGTATACACTATATATAGTTAGCAATACTTACCCAGTGACAACTACTATAAAGTCCATAATGTTCCAAATGCTTCTCAGATATGATCCTTTGTGAAATATAAATCCCAAGGCTATAATTTTAACAGAGGCTTCCACTAAAAATATTCCCAAAAAATACACTTCGGTTTTATCCTAAAATTTATTAAACAGTTATTTATACACTAAAAAAAATTCATCACAATGAAAACATTTATGGTAGAAATTTATTTTACTAATAAACACAACTTTAGTTTAGATATTAATGCAAAAATAATAAAACAGAAATGAAAAGTCACAATAATGAATTAAAAAAGGATAGAAAAATATAAAAAGGGTAAAAGGAAATATAGTTTTTCTGGTGATCATCGCAAAATGATACTTAGGCTATTATGAGCATTAATTTTATTATAAACGGGAATAATACTAACATGAAAAATTAGTTTATATAAGTTTCATGATAATTAAATATTGAATAAATTAATAACAAATTTGATAAAAAAGTAAGTAAAACATGATGCAAAATGAAGATTGTGAGAAGGTGAAATAAAATTATCTTTATATTTAACTTTGCCATAAAATATAGAAATTCTAAATCAAATAAAAATAATTACTCTTAGTGGAATAAAAACTTAGCAAGAGATTTCAATCCAAATCTAAAAAACTTCTTATAAGTTAGACAAAATAAGGTTCATTAAATAAAGATTTTTAGAAATCTGCAAATGTCTACTTTAAAGCTGTAAATAATTTTTTAATATAGAAACGAACAAGACAAATAAATATAAAAATTATTAAATTAATGTGAAATAGTTATAATAAGTTTGGAAAAATTTATAAATAAGAAAAACTAAGGGAGAAAACTACCCAGTTAACTGTAATTTTACCCTGGAAAGGTAAGATGGAAAAGGTAACTGGGGAGGGTAAACATGAGATAACATGAGATCTTACTTACCTCGTAACTCCTCAAAGATTGTGCAAACCTAAACTAAAATTTTGCACATGAAAATTTCACGAGATCTTTAGAGCATAGTTTAAATATTATTCAATATTTATTTTAAGAATTTTTTTTAGATATTTAACTTTTATAAAAATGATTTTTTTAAAGTACTATCATTCAGCAATAATGAAATTTGAAATATTTATTATATAATAAAATTATAACATCACTTAATTAAAAAGTTCACCTTGATTTTTTCTTGTATTATTATTTTCCAAATAAAAATTTATATAATGACGTTATTTTTTTTTAAATGAAGCGTGCTCTCCTAAAAATGATCCAGATATAAAATATTCTATCAAATAATACTTAAGTTTTAGAGGAAAATATGTAAGTTTTATATAGTTAATTCCTATCTTTATTCAAAAATTACCTATTTATTTCAAATACATAAGATAGTTATTCCTCTATAACCTCCTTAAAATACCAAGACATCGTGATACCTTTCCAGTTTGGTATTTAACAAAAAGAGTGAGTTCTTTTCATCAGATATATATTTAAACATCGTCATATCATTCAAACTATCGTATCGAGCAAGTTAGCTATGACAAATTTTAGCCCACCCATCGGAGGTTCCATAGCCACCTATAATTTTTTAAATAGCATTAGCATCAAATTGAATCACCTGAAACAACTCTACTTATTACCTGCTCATCAGGCTTTCTTTATTATTAAAAAGTTAGTATCCCAATAATTACACAAGCTCTCATTTCGGCCCCAATTAGTGATCTGGGCAACTCAATTTCCTGTTGGAAGAAACTTTAAACCTGACTTTCTTACTCTCCTTTAACTGCAGGCCACCTTACTCAGCAAATTCGGAGATATCTGCCGCCCTCCTATCACGCTCTCTTTCTGACTTTGAGAGATGTAAAAAGATATTTTCAAATGAATCTAGATACAGATTTAGATAGCTAAAAATAGATCTAGATACAGATGGTACATATACATTTTTACAAATATATTTATATACATACAGAATTATTATGTCAAATTTCTAAGTGAGCTAAAAAATATATTGAGCTGAATCAGTGAAAAAATGATCCTTAAATTTTAATATTTCTTATACAAAATATATTATTAAATGATTATAAATAATTGTTAGATTTTGAGAATCCACCACGTTTTTCTCTAGAGAAATTTTTGCTACACTAAACTCTTTCTACCGGGGCACTAGATGGCAGAGTGGTTATTATATTTAATGAATAACAACTTCATATTGGTATAATTATGACATATAATACAATCCCGGCACTCATTTTTATAAAACCATTCAAAATTTGATGTGTCAAAACTTATATAAATATCTATATAATCTAAGGGGTGCCAAATAAAATCTAATGATTTCTTTTTAGAGATTGTCTAGAAATATTGATATCAAAATAATAATTTATATATTTTAAATTAATCTAAATAAAATAAATTATAACATAAAATTTTACCATGTTGACGTCATCCATTGCATAAAATAAAATTTGTTTGGTTTTAATGAAATAAACTCGGGCATATTATCAAATTTAATTAAAATAGTAGTTTTAATTAAAAAAAAGTAAACTAAAATTATATCAAAATGTATCTAAAAATAACTAAAGATACCTCTAAAATAGTACCTCATTCAGATACTTTTTATAAAAATGTTAGATACAGGTGCCATATTTTTACATCTAAATACTTTAATAACTCTGTCAGGTTTATTTTACATTGACTGGCGTGTCCTAACTCGAACCCAGTTTTCGGGTAAATAATGACCCCTAATTAGACAAGGCTTTGATAGGTTAAGATTAATTTACTTCCCAATCTTCCTCAACCTTTTACTTCTTCATATAAAGTTTGGAACCTGATTAATAGCGTGTCCGGTGGATATATACTTTTGAACGAACTATCCTTGGAAATGAACAGACATCTCATACAAAAGCAATAACAGATATGAATGTCTAAAGCCAATACCAAGTCAAAGTGCAGGACTATGTTTATCCAAGAAAAAGTTATGGATAACCATGGGACTCCGAACTAATTGGCCCATAGTTACTCCCTTTAATGCACGTTTTACAACGTGCATGTTGCACATAACTTTCACCACCCTCTTAATTGTAAATAATCCAAAAGATCAATTAGATACAAAGTTATAAATAACATAATTAGCTAGGTCTTAACCAAACATACCTTCAATTCTAAACGGAAGGAACCTAGGTGACAATAAACGCCTTGATAGTTTGAGACTGCTCGTGTATAGGCTATATTTGTAGCATCTAATAATAACAACCATTCCACAGAAACTGCAGAATCAAATTATGTTTAGTTTCCGGTTAGTCATATATAATATTAAAATACTACTTTTTATCAAATCATAATTTTATCCCGTTAATTATTTATGGGACCCCTTCTTAAAATTTTTAAATATACTCAGTAGGAAAATTTCCAGCAACACTGGAATAACTGTGGAAAGCTTCTATATTCGATAAGAAATAGGATTAGAATTGTGCAGGTCATATGCAATCTCAATTTATGGTAGGTAATTTATATTTTTGAAAAATTTATTTTTTAAAATGTTAAATTTTTTTAGTTATAAATTATACTTTTAAATGTGTATTTTAATGATTTGACTATTAAACATAATTAAATTTTTAACAAAAAATTAATCAATAATTGTATTATAATGTTCTAAAAGCTCATTTAAACAAATAAACGTCTTCGATATTTTTTGATTTAAAAATAATAATGCACGAAAAAATATCGATACTAGTTTTATATTGAGGAAATATGGTAATGGAAATTTAAGAAAATGTGAACGTGAAGTCTCTTTCTTAACATTACATCTTAAAAACATTATCTTTCATAATGTATAAAACAAAGAGAAATTTTTAATGGGTAATAAGAAAGTTATAAAAAACCAATCTAAATAACAATTTATTTATTTTTATATAGATTTGAAAAAAATGAAGGGTATTTTTATTTCATACTTTGCTTCAAAATAGATGATATAGTGATGGAACGCTTAAATAAATAAGTTGTATATATATGTCAAAGGGCTATGTTTCATTGCCCCGGGTTGGGTTTCAGCAAATTTTTTAAGCTTAATAAATCATTTTCATTTATAACGCAAGGTTTTAATAGTAAAACTTGACTTTGCCGGAATCGCCCTCCAGTATATATAAATACCTACCTTCTGGAGATACTCTATAGCTGAAATATGATTCTTTCAAAATTGGTCTTTTATAAAAAACGCGCGTTGTAAATGACTTAAGTTGCTAAAATTTGCGATTGCTCTGAAACTATATAATTGTATGTTTAAAAATTATATTATTAATAAAATGTAAATCTTTTATATGTATAATGAAATAAGTCAGAAGAAGAATCTGAATATGATTGAGACTTTGAACGATTAAGAAAAATTGGCTGTCCTTTAAAATTGTTTTTTAATTCCAAATTTATATTTCAAGATAAGAGTACGAGATAGTTTTTAAATCCTCTTCTAAAAAATTTTTAAAATATATAAAAAGATTTTTTGAAATTACGTAAATCATATTAAAACACCGGAAAATGAATTAGTCAAATAATTTTTAAAGCAAAATTTATCACATTGAAATACTTTAATAATGGTATAATAAAATAAATTATTTTTAAAGGGTATGACTAAACTGCAAATGCTTAGGTAAAATGCAAATGCTTAGGTAAAAAATTTTGATATATATTCTATTAATTGGAGTAAGATTCATTTTCTTACGATATGTATAACTTATAAAAATTATATTATTAGATATAATCAATAAAAAATGAATAGATATTAATAGTTGTTGATCCTTTTATCTCATAATAAATAGTTATTATTTTTAATTTAATTATGCTAAAGGATTTAAACTCTTTATTATGAGATAATAGGAAATACAACTATTAATGTCTATTCATTTATTATTGAATATATCTAAGAATATAATCTTTTTTAAGTTATTTAGAGAATAAGAAAATGAACTTCGCTCCAATTAAGAGAGAATATAACAAAATTATTTACCTATTTTTACCTAAGCATTTGCAGCTTACCTTAGCATTTGTAGTTTTGTTAAACCGCTAATTACTTGGTTTCAGATAAATATTTTTAATTACATTGATACAATTTATTAATTTTACCCTTAATTTATAAGGGATTTATGCAGAGTTATCACATTATTCTTTCAATGAATTTTTATGTTGAAATTTATTAGTTATGAAAATAAAATTTATAATCTTTTAATTTGAATTAGGGCTCATATTCCTTATCTTTTTTTAAAAAATAAAATCTATTTAGGATATAAAAATTTAATTTTTAAAAATTAATGACTTTTATTTTATAAATGAATTAATCAGATAATCACCCGTTAAATGTTTTAATTTTAGAAAATGGGCTATATTTCTGACCATTTTTTTAGGATTTTAAATTTTGGCTGGTAAAGTATTCTATTACCAATTTATTAATCGTTTCTTATAGAATATTTAAAAAGAACTAGCAAATTCACTGAAAAAATACCTGTTTAGACACTTATAAAATACATTAGACTGCTTAACACCGTATTCGTTTTCTATAAAGGCATATCTATAGAAAGACATTTTTAAGTAGAGATTAATAACTCTATATTATTAGTTTATAAATTTAACTTTTATAGAACAACGGTTTATTATAAAGTAACTCTTAAATAATATTTAAAAAAATATATTTCGAAAGATTAATAATAATTCATATTAATTTAAATTTTTATATCTAGCCAGATTACGTTTTCTGGTTTTTATAAATGGAATTAGGATATTATCTCATCTCAAACTGACAATTTTATTCTCTGTATTAATATTCAGCAATAACTTTTCTTTAAAGATGTACATCTATTTTATTTATCAAAAAATGTGATATAAAATGGAATATGAAATAATTCACAAATTCTGACTTTTGGTAAACTTTTCTTATTTTAATAATTCATTAATATTCAACCAGGCAAGAACGAAAGGATAAGGTGCAAATTATAACGCTAAATTTGTATGGACCTTAGAAAATGAAGCATAAATTATACTATTTTTCTGATTTATTTAATAAAATAATAATTGTTCTAAAGTTTAAATATTATCAAAGTTAAATTTATAGACCAATAATATATATGGACTTATTGATCTCTATTTATAAATGGTGGATGCTTATGATAGCTCTCTAATTTCCTTATTAAGTAGTCCATGTTTCTTAATAAAGCTTTAAATGATATATTATTCAAAAGCGAGGAATAAAATCAAATGGAAAAATATATAATAGATAATTATAAAAATTTGTGAGTAGATAAAATTTGAATATTCGAGAAAATGTTTTATATTATTTAAATGGGAATGTTATGCATTATATATTTTTTCTAGCATGTAAATCATGTGTGATACATTAAAATAATTATGAAATGCATGCGTGATGATTTTTTTTGTACGATAGTGAAACCTGGACTTTATTTTAAGTCAATATGGTAAAAATGTAATGGAGTAGTTTCTTTTAAATGGTTGACAAAATATTCATTCGTTAATAGGTTACAAGCTATCGCGGGAAGAAATAAATGGTAGTAAAAAAATAAGGTTCAATTGCTCAAGTTTCGTTGGATAGAAAAAATAGAGTAATCCTTATTGATACTTTTGATCTGAAGAAACTAAAAATGATGTCGTTGGAAGAAGCAATTAGGAGAAAAAAGACTAGGAATATATTGATGGTAAAACTCTATCATTGAAAAAAGAAAAAGTCGAAGAACAGTCAGCAAAGGAATACAGGTTACCAATGGAAGAGGTGAAATGGGGAAAAACAATTTGTTGTATAAAATTATTTTGGATTGTAAATCGTCTCCTTTGGTTCTATTACCCAATTAGAATCGTGGTTGGACTTAACTGCGGGGAAAGGTTATAAGCAAAATTTTAATATAAGAGAAAATGTTTAATTATTATTTAAATTATCAAATATTTTCTTTAAGTTTTAAAGGATAAAACTTACATTAAACATTTATGGTAGAAAATAAATATTTAAAGTTCCTGACCCCCCCCCCCACTCTAGATCTAAACTGACCCACTTGCAATCAATAGATATTTTAATTACCTTTTATTTGATACCAATATAAAATTTATATTTTTAGCCTCCCCCCCCCAGACTAAGTCCATCCCATTAACCAAGCGTGAATACCATTATTTCAGTCGAGATATTTCAATTAGCTTTTATTTGATGTCCATGTCGCTGACCCTCCAAAGCCTAGATTCGTCCATCAAAAGTGTTAGTCAATTGGGTAGTTTTTTTTTATTAGTTATTGATTGATGTCTATACTGAACATATCTACTTACTTAAAGGCAAAAAAAACAACTTTGTGGCTTAAATAATAATAATATTAAATATAAATAGAGCGAAGAGCATTATTAAATAAAATTCCCCATTTCATTTCTTAACTAAAATCCTTATTTTTTAGATATCCATTTAAAATCCTGGATGTCACTGGATAGTTATGATCCCTTTAAAAATTTACAGCATATAACCATTATAACATTACCTTTTTTGTATTATGCTTTATATATAAATTTAGATGTACCTTTTCTAATTAAATAAAGTTAAAATTTTAATTTCATGGTAAATCCCGTTTTATTTTGGTAGCAATTATTATAAAAATTTTTAATAAATTTAAAAGGTAACAAATAAAAATGGTACTAAATACTTGTGGATATCTACCCTTAAAAACCTTGTTAGATAGGAAAAATACTTTACTGTAACTTTTGATGGCATGATAGTGACGATACAAGTAAATACTTTAAAATAACATTCTGTTAGATTTTAAAATTTTTAAAAATATCTAAATTAAATTATTCTAATTACTAATTTGAAACTATCACCTTGCACCATAATAACATTTTTTAGATAAAATACACGAAATGAAGGGCCAAATGTTGATATTTCAGAAAACTAAGATTATCAAAAGATGAAAACTTTAACATTTAAAATTTGGAAAAAATAAATAAACTAAAGAAATTTTATGAATAAATTGATAGATATTTTTGATTTTTTAATAATATAAAATGATAATATTTTAAAATAAACATCATTTATTTTAGAGGCGAAAAAATCAGTCAATTTGTTCATTACGATTTCTCATCTGGCCCATATCAAGTAATACATGTATATATAATATTACTAATTTCTGCGCAAGAGTAGTTTTATCTCCATGAGGTAAATGTTCTTCCAAGGCCAAAACTATACAATTAGCGATGATTGTTAACAGGACCATATACTCAAATGGCGTATTATTGTAATTCAGAATTAAGGAAAATTGTTCAAATAAATAATATATTCGAAAATTTATATGAAATATAATAATTTAAAATTAGAGGCATATAAGAGAGGAAATGAAAGAAAAAAGAAAAGAGGAAATTTTGAACCCAAAATGAAATGAGTAATCGCTGGCTCTTGTGAATAAAATATACTAAATGAGGCAAAAATCGAAAGGAAGCCATGACAGCAACTGTAAAAAAAAATAATTTTTAAAACAAATACAATTGAAATTAGCAAATAATAATTATCAACCGTAATATATGTAATAAATTTTAAGTAAATATTTTATTAATAGTCTTGCCTTAGGGAAGAAAATAAAATCACCTGATATAATAATTGAAGAAAATCAAAATATTGCGATATAGATTTTGTAAGTTTACTATGTATGCATTTGAATATTTTCTAATGATATTATAAATATTTGAATATTTCTGGGAATTTAAAAATGAATTACTTATTACCTAAATTTCCGGGAACTTTTCCGGCTTTTATAATAGGAATCATTGCTTCGCTGATCGAAATGCATTTCAATTGGGATATGTAATGTGACAATATTATCACTCAAACCTTTCAGGCTAATTTCTTTCAGAAATAGTTCTAAATCCTATCAGAAAATGGGAGTTTAGTGTGGAAAATAATAAGCTACTGCATAATTTATCCCTTTTTTTTATATATTATATAAAAATATTTAATATTAGGTAAACCAATAAATTATTGACTTAAAACTGATAGATATTTAAATCTTCTGATTTCATAAGATTATATTTTTGTCTATTGAAATATTGTTTGATGTATGGTATAATTTTAATTTATAAATTATTAATCAAATAATATTTATAATATTATGAATTATATTTTCAATTTTTTTTATAAATTTGATAAAAAAAATAATAATAAACCCATTATGGATGTATAAGTATTATTATATAAAATTTATAAATTATTGATTTTCGCCATTTAAAACATCTGAATTTTAGGGAAATTTTTAAAAAATAAAATAATATGTAATAAAGAATGTGTTATAAATAAGATTTTGTGAGAAATTTATATTTTATTACCTAAAAAAAATTTTTTTATGGTTTAAATTTATTAAGTAGATTTTATAGGAAATTAAAATAATTAATGAATATGCTATATCTACCATTGTAACATACTAACAATTTTATTATTTTATAACATTAAAAGCTAATGGGGAAAAAGATAGACATAGAACTACAAATTTATTGTTTGCTAAAAAAATTCTGGGTAAATAAAATATATTTTTTGAGAATAATTATTTTATATAATTAATTTAATAAAATTTGTAAGCCTTGAAAGAATACTAATTACACCTTTCAAGCAGTTTATTTTTAGAAAAAATTTATATAATTTACCAGAAATTTTGCCGATATTAAGTATATAGAATAAAAGAATTATTTATGATAGGTAGATATGATTAGGTTATATTTAGCTGAATAATATATTTCTCTTAATATAAAAAATAATTCAGGGTGGTGTGAGTTTTAATCATGATTGAAGATAAACTTTGAATTACAACTGATCAAAAATAGTTTTTTTCTTTAACTATATCAAGAAATAATTTTTCTTATTTCTCTTGATTCGAAAAGAATTTAGTGTCAAAGAAGTAGTTCAGAATATAGAGGCATTTAGAGTTCGTGCTTTATATTTAAAGTATGCTATATAAATTTAATGTTTACCTTAGGAATGTTTATAACAATATGTAAATTATAAAGACTTTATAACTATAAGATAATTTGAATAAAAAAGGATATCCCCATTCTATAATGAGCTTGGCATATTTGCGAATACATTGATGGTCCCAAAATATAAACAAGGAATTATTGTCAGTGGTAATCCAGAGAGGTATTTTGCAATCCCTATTCTTGATCCTTTTGAATATACTCCATCTATTTTTTTCTGGCGATCCATCTAGATCTTGGGTCTCTTGCAAAAGGGCCTCCTCCTGGGCCAACCTTATCATAAGTGGGTTCATATCATATAAAATAAATATTTATTTAAGGTTTTTTTAAAGTTTGTTAAAAACATTTTAATTTTATTACTTTTAACTAAGTAAAAGATTATTAATTATATGAACCTTTTTCTTTTATTAATTAAAAAATTATTTTTTATGAGAAATTTTTTGATTTCCTTTGATCTTTAAAAAATACGAAAGGTTTTACAATAGGTTAATTTTGAAATCAATACAAATTCGAAAATAATTTGGTAAAATTTGAGCCAAAGTTGAAATGGGGTTAAATAAACGCCGTATTACTCTTAAAAGGAACGTTAATACGATTATAAAGATATTTGTAATGGATACATAATTTTATGGATAGATATGGAAGTGTTAGGTATATAATTTTATTCGATTATTAAGTATCATTATTATTGGCCAATAATAAAAAAAAATTGTTTATTATCTAAAAAATTGTATATATTATCAATTAAACATTGTAAATTTGAATATTAATCTTAAATATATAAATATTATTTTGGCCATTTTTTAATGCATTAAAAATCGATTTTTATAGAGATTTGTTAATGTTGTGATATGTTTTGTTAAAATGCCCTCATTAATATAGAGCAAAGAAATTTTTCACAATCATTAGTTCATTAATAAGTAGTTATTTTAAATATTTTTCTTAAAAAAATGTTCAAGTTTAAAATATATATTTATATATTAACATAGGTTGTTTGAATAGATAATTATATTAAACTATTATTAGGCAACACTTTCTAAATTTATAGACATAGATCGATCTAATCAATAAACGTTTTTAAGCCAATTTAGGAAAATTAAATCAGATTGAGAAAATACTTATAGATTTTACAGATATCTTAATTTGAAACATGTTTTGCTCATACTTAATATTTCTTTTTTTTAAAATCCATCTGTGTTACTTCAATACATCGATTTAATATGTATCTATAGTGAATGTTATGTTTTTGAAAAAATAATCAGGTATATAAATAATATAGATAATTACAATTTGATAAATGAAAGGTTTTTCACAGCTCGATCTGATTGATGTATTATATTTATGATTTCTTTTTATACAATATAAAATTATTTTTTAACATGTTCTCAGGTGATAGTCTAATCAGTGATTCATGGTTTAAAAAAAACATTGAAGTAAATACATATTTAATAGACCACCCCAATTTCCAGAATTATTAATAAGTTAATATCAAACTCGAATCAAAGTTTTCACAGGGATCGTTACATAGCCACACTTTTGACAAAATTTGGTCAAAATGTTTGCCCCGACACTTGGTCATACGGTATTTTATCACGCGAATCATATGCCTTAAATATGAAGATATAAAGAAAATTGCCTATAATTGTATTAACAATTATTCAATTTCAGATACTTTAACATTTATTAAAGCAATTGCCAACATACTATCCAATTTTTTATATTGTATATATACATATATGACTTGTTTGAAAAATGAATATTCTATGTTTACACTTTTCATAATATCGTTGCAAATTAAAGAAAAGTCCATGAAACTATTGGCATCTATGGTATTTCGGATTCCTTAACATTTTAAAAGCCATACATATCATTCAATTAATTTTATTATAAACATATAATCTGTTTGAAGAATGAATATTCTGTTCAACCTTTTCAATAGAGATAAAATGAAAAATAGTTTCGCTGTAGATTTAATAAAAAAAGCGAAACCCAGAAAAGAACCCCCGGAAAAAAACCCCCAGGAAAAAAAACCCCGAAATTTTTTTTCGAATTTACTTAAGATCTAATAATATCGGTATATTTTTATTTGGATTTAATAAGGTATAGATAAATTAGTATTTTAGAAAAAAATATTATAAAAATATAATTTAATAATAAATCATATACAAAATAATGACTTATCAATAAAATAAACAGATCTTATTGCAAATTTTGTCAAATTTAGTCTACTTAATATAGTAATTGATGGATATTGTATTTATTACTATAGCAAAAATTTTTACGAAAATAAGTAATATATGGGTTATTTTACTGGGATATTTTTTTCCCCAGTACCAATTTGAACATCAGCATTTTTTCTTGTTTAAGCAATGCGATTTTGTTATGGGTGTCCAACTACCTACACGCCATCCTTCAAGTTTGGTTTCATCGGCAGCCACCTCGCATTTCATTTTTTTTAATTAATACCCAGATTGATGGGTGTTTATTCCCAATCAGATTAAAAAAAACAATTATTCGAACCTTCGCATTGTTTATTTAAGAGTTATTCGTTGGATAGAATGCCTGATTCAAGTTTCTGGAGGAAATCGAGGCCCAGTTCGACCTGTCTGGAATTGAGAATTGCTTCTTGTGACCTCTCTTGATACTCCATTGATGTAATTTTTATCGAAATATTCAAGAATATCCTTACTATTGCTCGGAGTAACCGATCTAAGGAATGTCATTGCATTCCTCATATTACATAAAGGAACAAATGCTAAGCCGTCCATTATGTCACAAAAGAAGCTTAAGGCTTCATCGGTTCTGTATTGGCTTTCCAGACCTAGCTTTTGAATTTTTCTATGGGTACTTTGACACAAATGGTAAAAGCATCCTCTGATTATGATGTGATCCCCTAATTGAAAAAATAAATATAAATAATTTAACATTAATAATCATACCAATGACAGTTTTAACCGCGCTCATAGCAGACTTTTCGAAATCCATGTATATATATATATAATAGATCAGGAAATAAATCCCGTTCTTGACATTTAGACATTATTACGTCGAATATTTTTTCATAAGTATTTTGTATTTTTTTTGGAGTTTAATAGCCGCTAATGATTGTGGCATTCGCTTATAAAATTATTTATCAATATTAATTATTGCTAGGTTATACTAAAAAAATTAAGTGAAAATTGAGAAGAAAAAAATTGAGAAAAGGTCAGAAAAATAAAGATTAACAATGACTTTAGGCAAAAATGGGAAGAAAATAATAAATTGAAAATTTTTTAAAAAATAACGTTTTTCTTTTTTTTTAAATTTTTTTTCCATGGGGTTTTTTTTTCCATGGGGTTTTTTTTTCCATGGGGCTTTTTCCCATGGTTTTTTTCCTATTACCAAAAAAAGCATAACATTAATACTTCGTTTCTTCACATAATTTAACTTTCGGGCCGGCCCAGATAAGTTGTCTCAAAGTTTTTGAACTAGGATTGGCAATTTGTTTGTCGATATGAGCCGATTAATCTAAAAATTGCTTAAGTCAATAAAATTTAATTTTTCTGACGTTTCGGATATTTTACCATTATCCATTAAATTTTCTAGAATTATTTTAGAAAGCCTTGTCTAAAACTTTGAATTTATTTCTCTAAAAGAGAAAAATATTTATTTTTGTTAAAGTTTTTAAAATTTATTTATCTTTTATAGATTTTAAGAAAATTAAAAAGTTTAAATAAGGATTTAGCAGAAATATTCACAAACTTCCAAAACATAAATATATAATTGATCCAAATAATAATAGAAATTTATAAATTTCAGTAGAATTGTGTTGTAATTGTAATGAATAACAATTTTCTTTTGATATTATGATAAAGCATAGCATATAACGTTTTTGAAAATGGCTTTTATTAAAATATAATAAATTAATTAAAGATAGTGGTTATATATTTGTCATCTAAGATTAAATATAAAAAACATTTTTTTATTATTCTTTTTTTTAAAAAATATATTTTTACTTATTCAACTTTAAAAAAAATTTCTATAACAATAATTTATGATATTTTATAAAATTATATTTAATTAATTGTCTATAACTATAAAATATTTACGTTGGTATAAAGAAACCATAGTTATATCTAAATAAATATTTCTAATTGAATTTATTTTCTAATAAAAATAACTTCCCTGTATTTGAATTTGAGACCTAAAGCTTTTATAGTGATTATTTAAAATTTAAAACTTTTTACTATATTATTTTATTGTAATTTTATCTCACATAATTTTTATCTCTTACACCATGTCATGTCTTCACTTAGTTCTATTTTCTATTTTAATCCTTATCTTTCAAACTCTAAAGGCGTAGCCAGGATTTTGCTAAACGGGGAGGCACTACCATGAGGGATTTATTGAATAAATTTTATTGGATGTCATTAGATCCACCAATTGTAGGCCTTTGGTGAGATAGATTTTTATAAAAATAATGTTGATTTTTCACTTCTTATTTTTATTAAAATGCTTTTTTTCTAAAAATTATGAATTATAGTGGTATTCTAAAAAGTTATCAACTTTTACTAATTTTTCTTTCCCAATTCTTGTTTATAGTGATATATTATAATATTCTATACATTTCGGGGAGAGGGTGGTAATTTGTATAGGTTAAAAATATTTCTTGCTGCTATTTACGAGAACAGGCAAATTTTTGAAGGAAAGATTTTCCCTTGCCCCCTCTCTTCGGATACACCTATATATACTCTAAGCGATTTATTTTTGTCCTCTATTGACCTGAACAAAAAGGTTAAATGTATTTAAAATGGTATCCATAAATATAGAACCAATGTAATCAACAAAATGATTATTAATGTATATGAGAAAATGTAAAAATGTATTGGTAAGAGTAAAATCATAAATGAAAAAGATGGATTCTGAAATTCCAAGTTTACAAAAATATTAGTAATAATATAATAATGATAATAACGAGAAAGAAAATGTGAATTGCCAGGTATGGAATACATGTTAATTTAGTTATTCAAGTCGTCGAATAATAAAGATATGGGATTTTAAAAAGTAAATAAATTATTGTCCTCTAATATTCTTTTACGTTGACTCACAGGCATAATAAATTAAACCTAATATGATGTTCTCATATTTGTAAATTTAAAGGGTTGAAATAATATTTGCTCTGTTAATGCGTCGCTAATAATGTTTAAGGACTTGAATTCAAAAAAATAACGCATGGTGTTCCTTTCCTTTTCAAAATAATAAATGAAATTCTTTTTTCCTACATAAAGAACCCC